ACCCATATCGGATCAAAATTAGTCGCGTCAGTCAGTGCTGTTATAAGGACTTCGAACTGATCGAGCATTATAGGTTTTCGATTTTTAGGTAATGCTCTCTCTGATTTGTTCTAGACTCTATGTTGGTTATCGGACTTATTCTTGGATTGCATTGTGATTAGAATAATGTCCTGGTATGACCGAGCATGAAACACTTTGGAGATATTTATGATTGCAGAGAATGTCATTAGCGTGCAGTTACTAAGGAGACAGCGAGGCTAGAGCGTGCAATGGACGGTTGGTGAACCTCATTTGTATTGTATACGTTTCTCATATTTCTCTCTTGTTTCCAAACCTTGCAGGTTAATGAATCTAGATTTTCGTCAACCTCCCGCATCTCAGATACTCTCTGAAGGTCGACAGAGTTTTGAAAGTCTACTAGTGTGCTGACAAAGTGGTTAATCTTCGAAACCAACGGCGACATGATGGCCACTGAAATGGCAGTGGGTTTCGGCCATCAGGGCATGACGGTAGTCAACTTCGGCCATAACTTCCCGCTACATCAGCACCATCAGATAGACGGGTATGATTACTACACCCATCAGCCGGCCAGGAGCTACCAAGATCACGTGATGGTGGCACAACACAACCAACACCACGATGAGGTGGATGAGGAGGACATAGAAGATGAAGATATCGATGAGGAGGAGGAAGAGGAGGAGAGCGAGAATGAGTCCATGTACACCTCGGCCGACATGGACTCGGAGGTCGCCAGCGAGGATCTAGCGGAGCCCGAGCCCAACGTTGCCGAGCAGCTCCTGGAGTTCGCCCAGGCCGTCAATCGAGACATCCAGAAGTACTTTGGCCGGAAGAAGAGTGCGCACGAACCCGACTCGTCGGTGGGGACTGTGTACGAGGACCGCTTCGCCTCGGGCAAGTCGGGACGGGAGCTGTACTACGCCGACCTGCTGAGGGTGGCTCAAAATGGCGACGCGGCCGAACCGTACAGCACGGGACGCGGGAGGAGGACTGATGCTTCCATATCGCCTCGTGCATCTACATCATCCGCATCATCAGCAGCGGAAAACGCAGATGTGATCAACGCGAACTATTCCTGTCAGAAAGGGCTGGGGCCCTTGAAGGAGCTGTTTGATTTTGCCATCGGGGGCTGCATGGACAGCATCAGTAATGACCGCCGGGACGGCCACTGGCAATCTCAGGACTCCTCCTCCTCCCAAAAATGCTTCCCGACGTTACCATGGAGAAAGCGGGCCCTGCCCAGTAGCTTCTTCGTGGAGCCTGGTTCCCGTGGTCAGCCCCGTAATGGCTCTGTTGGCTACGGCTCGCATGTGACCATGATACCAGAACACGAGACACCAGACTTCAGTGACCTTGTTGCCAACTTCACCTCCGATTATGACAACCAGCTAACAGCTACAACTGTTAGCCATTGAGACAGGACACATAATGATGCGTCAATTAAAGAAAAACACCACGCCATTCTTTCAAAGTACTTAAATTCCAGACGCCATTATTGCATGGTACAATTTAATATAGGGGAAAAAACTGTCTAATAAGTTAGCCCACCATTCTGTTTCTGATCACGATATAGATGTGAGTTGTGGGAAGGGCCAGGATTGGCCTTTCCCTGTGCCCTTTTGTCTACGAATTCCCATTGTTAATAAATCTTTAGATAAACTGAACGACGAATAAGCTGATTAAGCTGTGTAGGCCTACACCGTTCAGTACAATGAATTTATTATGTGCATTTTAGCGACCTCATCTTAACGAAAGCCTATGCTTGTTTACTGCCTGCAGAGCCTCCCAGTACTTTGCAAAACGCAGTTTCCATGAAATTAATTATTTCTGTTAAATTTTCCGATTGAATACCAACGCTAAAATTTCCTAGAATGTAAATCCATTATAATTATCGTTTCCATAGCCTACTGTAAGCGAAAATGTCTTGCTCTTCTGAAACATCAAATGCACATAGGCGTCGCCAGAATTTTTTTCGGGGGGGGGGGGGAAGCACATTTTCTTCCCGAAATCCCTGTAAAAAAAACTTTCCAGCATATTCTCGATTTATCATTTTTCGAGTATGGGCAGGGACATTTGCCCCCCCCCCCCCAACCCATTAAATTAATAGCAATATGACTTTGAGCATCTTTTTCTTTTTTCACCTTTTTTTCCCCTCCTTTTTTCCTCTCCTTTTTTTTTGGCTTTTCCATGGGGGAGCGCCCCCCTCCTTGCCCCCCTCCCTCGCGACGCCCATGCAAATGCACCGTAAAAGTCATAAAGATTTTTTGTCTTTATATTGAACTGAGAGATGACAATACTATTTAAAGATGAGGAATTATTCAAAAAGTCAGTATTTAAGAATAACAAGTGGGTGAAGAACTGAATAAAAACATCATGAGAGGAGAATGTAACGGGATGTTTGAAGCAATTTCAGTAGAAAACGGGAGCAGGAACGCAAGGAGGATCGTCTGTCGTCTTAAAAACAGAAGTGGTAGCATATATTTCAAGATTGTCTCACAACGGACCGTTGTTTTTCTGGAGTTTTTTTTTCACTCGTGGAACGGCCACCGCGTTGCGCGTTTTGTTTCACGAATTTACATGCTGCGATGGCAAAAACGCGTTCTCTCATTTTTGAAGTTTCACGGAGAGACGAATTTCTTTGGTGATGAATTAATGTGTAATAATTGTGTTTATTGGGCAATTGCAGACACGATTGCGTGTTGTGAAATGTATCTTTGCTTCAACACAATATCAATATCCTTCATCATCAAATTACAAAAGTGCAGGGTTTAGCCATGTGTCAAGGGTAGCTTAATACGACCACCACTACAAAATGATCATTCGTCTACCCTAATGTCTCCCTGATGGCTCCCCATATGTCTACCCCCAAACAAGGTGAGGTCCATGGTGACCGTGTCCAAGACTTCAAATGGTCCAGAGTCTAATAATTATAAGTTAGTGTAATAGGTGTTACAACTGTTAATGGTACCTATGGGAGACCTGTCAATGCATTTTTTTCGAACTCAGTAGACACCGGACATCAGGGAGACATTTTGTCAGAGCCCACCTTTAGAGGCAAAACGTTATCGTCGCAATTAGGTTATATGTGTTGCTCGTGGCCTAAGACAAGATAAGTTTGCGGTAGCACCATGTGAATAAGTCTCTTTTGTGAGTATGTGTGGTTCTGAAAAGAACCGGAGTCCCTCCGGTTCTTTTCAGAACCACACATACTCACAACCACACACTCACTCACTTTTCAGAACCACACATACTCACAAAAGAGATGTATTCACATGGTGCTACCGCAAACTTATCTTGTCTTAGTATCTATCCACCATGCAAACCTTCAAATCTCAGCTCGTGGTCTAATTAGTAAAAAAAAAAAAAAAAACCCACCAAATTCGTGGGAAAGGATAAGGGGAATATTGGGTTAGGGGACATTTAAGTTGAAAAATGTTGTACACAACCCTATGGGAATGCCCCCCTGCAATGGCTGACCAAAAACTGCATGGATCGATATTGGCAGTGGTGAAGTGATCCCCAGAACAATGGCTAAACTAAACTGAACATCAAACTTGCACCTTTTTTTAAAGGAAAAGTGCCCGCCCAACTTCACCTAATCAAATTGCCATGACCTACAGCAAGTGCCGATTGCCCAGGTTCAATTAGACTGTTGTTCACATTCATGACTTAACTAACGAGGAACGAATCCACGAGAAACTCATACAGAAAGAAAACATATTAAACGGTAAATGTTAATTGTTGATGATCAGCAATCAACGCGCTTTATTAAGATTTTCACATGTATTTAAATGTTACAGGCAAGTTGTCTGGTTAAAAAATATTGTTGAAGTTCTAGTACTTTTTTTAATTATGTTTATTTTTCCGTACAACTTTACAGGTTTCCTTTTAGCTAACGTGTGCGTCTAAAACGACACAAAACTGTTTGCCCCAACCAAGGGCGGTGTCGACGGCGGATGTTTTTTGAGTTGTAGATAAATATTGTGTGACCGCCGACCAATGGTCTCAACACTTGCATCGTGCGCAGAGTTTGTATAAGGATGCAGGGTGCAGGAAGGACATTAATCTACTAACAATGTTCTCCCTTTCCTTCACCAAATCTTGTGAGATAGATAAGCCGTCACACGCCCTCTAAGGATAGGATAGGCGCAGACTGCAGACCAGTCAATAAATAAATAAACTGCCATAGACCTCAGTGATAATTACGCCCGCCTCCAAACATTTTGAAAAATACTCGCAACCCTCCAAGGTGTTTGGGACACACCAATGAAAGCTTTTTCATCATCTTTCATTTTCTGTACACTTTCTTGGGGGGTTTATCGATGACTTTTTGGAGAAAATCCATCCAATGATGATCACCACTAAAAGCAGTCCTAAAGACCATCGCCATTTTGAAAAAGGAATGCCTACGCTCCATTGCAAAATATAGAGCATTTTTTTGCCACATTTCATCTGAATTTCACAGAAATAAGAGCTCGCAGTCCTGTGCACGGCTTCCACCCTTCTTTTTTTTTTACAAAATGTTCTCATATGAAAAACATTGAGGGCATGCAAATCGTGATTTGGCCGGCGTAGGCAATTTCGGGCTAATACTGGCCTGCATCCTCGCAATTTAAGAGCACGGTAGGAGTGCACAATATCAACAAGATGTCTGGTAAAGCGCCCCCTGTCGAGCGATAAAGCAATGCATTTCAACCCAGTTCAGCACGTGTGGTTTTGAGATAGAATGTTAAAAATGGAAGATAAACGTTTGAGGCATTTTGTTTTGTTTTAGAAAACCCAATTTTCATAAATTCAGGCAAGTTGTCTCAATGTTTCATTATGTTTGAAAAAAAATAGGAACAATTGGAATTTTTCAATACAAATTGTGAATGTTTCAGATGAAAAAAATGAAATTGTTTTTAATTACAACAAAACTCAGGAAGACGAAAAATACCATAAAATATGGACATTTTCGATAGATTTCTATATTAAATTCACTGTTTTGGAAACAAAGGTGAAAACATACTAATTATTCGCATACACACCCATTTTAATACCAATTTACAATTGGAATATCCAAGTGAAATTTTCATTTAAATGAAAACAAAGTTGCTTTTGTTCAATTATAAAAATAGTATAAAAATAGAGCAGCATCACGTGTATGTAACTTAATTCAGCAGTTTGCGAACCAATTTTACATGAAAAGATGCCCCAAATGCCTCTATTTGAGTCACTTTACACAATAGCTGTCTGTGGTCTCCAACTCCTCCAGGCTACAGTCCAATATTTTGTCGTGACCCTCAAACTTAATGTAACCTTTGAACTTTGACCCCCGAAGGAAAATGGGAAACCAGTATGCATCGTCAGGCCACATGCTGTGGAAGGGAATGGCGTCCAGTGCGAACCACTTGGGTCTCATTTCTGCAACGAGGGGTAAAAGGCAACACAGCAGTGTTCAGACTCGGAGGTAAGGTGTTTAACAAAATGTCTACAAAGTTGGGGTATTTGATGTGCGATTATTGCAATGAGGACCATAGTCCCCTTACCCCCCCCCCCAAAAAAAGTAGCATTCTTGTAATTTTGGTGGGTTATTAGAAAATAAACCTGAGGAGTGTATCAGACTGTTTTAAAATCGATATTGTAGAAACCTCATCCCTTTTCCCTTCATGTATATGGATAAATTACAACAAAAAAAAAGATGGGGTGCAAACGCCCCCCCCCCCCCCTTTGAATTTGCAGTAGCCGAACAGCCTGTTGTAGCAAAAAATCTGGGGTTTGCCACTGTCTTCTTGCCTCCCTCAACACCCCCCCCCCCCTCCACCCTCTTAAGATTGATACCATTACCTTCCGTTTCTTGAAGTTTCCCCTCGTATTTGTCCCCTCGGAAGATGTGCACCTCAAGAATCTGTGGCTCGCCGACAAACTCAAAGTCTATCCTCCCGACTTCCTCAAATTCTGTCAGTGTGAGACCACACTCCTCCTCCACCTCCCTGAAGGAAGAAAAAAGCTATCAGATTCAAAAGACCTCTTTGGTTTTATTGAGCACAAGGACCATGTTCCCCATCAGGATTCGAACCCATGTACCATGGCACTGTCGGTACAGGACTACAGGAGTAGAACACAAACAAACCAAGGCCTGTCTGCCCGTGTGATTTGGTAGGAATGTGTAAAGTACAAACCTTTTGGCTCCTTGGGCAATGGTCTCCCCAGCTTCCACTTTCCCGCCAAACCCGTTCCATCGATTGACGCCGAAGCCCCGTTTCTTCATGCCCAGGAGGATCCTGTACTCCTCTCTAATTAACACCAATGTCAGAACTTTATTGGGTACTCCCATGTCGCGCTTGAAGGTGAAAGATGTTAGCCTACCAATAATTACCAAGAACAAAAACATGATTCGAATAATTAACACAAAAACAAGCTTTTTTACAAACATGACAAAGTTAAAACTTGAACACATGGGACTCATGGGCATGGCCTAGCAGTTAAGAGCAGCGCACCGGACTCATGCTAGGGTGTTTCAAAGGCAGCAGAATGTGGGTTGGAGCCCGGGTCTCGACACTTGTGCCCTTAGGCAAGGCACTTAACCATTATTGCTTCGTCCTTCGGATGGAACGTACCCAGGAACATATCGCTAGTCAAGAGAAGAGGCTTGCCCCGGTGTTTCTGGCCTCCTGTTAAAACTCCCCTGCGGAGTATTTTGGACGAGACGAACCAACCAAGTACTTGGAAAATTTATGACTCAGTGATAAATGATGACGGTAATCCTTTAGACAGGTTGGAGAATCTTACCTAGTTAAAGTGTCACAAAAAAAACTCCCGCCGATTCTTGATCTTGTTTTGATATGGCCCTAGCCTGCACACACCACCACGTGTTAGAATATAACTACAATTTCACATGGAGAAGCCTAGGATATAGACTTAATGTGACGTGTCAATAGAGGGCGCATGTTAACATCTCCGCAGATATGTAAACACAGAATGGTCCATGTGGTCCATGTGAATTGCATGCACTAGTGGTAGGTTGCAAGAAATTGCCTGGTTTGCAAACCCGAAGGTTTCCACATGATGAGGAAAATTGAAGGACCTCCCTGGCAGGAAATTTTCTTCGTTAGTTTTGTTACATTCAGGCACCTTTCGAGCCAAATGATTTCAAGACCACAAGAAGAAATTTCTTTTCTTTTCAGTATTTTTTTAATGGGGCGGAGGCGGTATATGCAGAAAAAGATGTCATGTACTATATTGGGTAAAATGATTATAAAAAATTGCGCACCTATCGAAGATGTGACTTGATCATGGAGAAGTCAATCCGATCGACTACAATGTCACCGAAATAGGGAGAGCCGGGGGGGGGGGGGGGGGCGGGGGTGTATCGAAGGCTGAACGATGTCAGTCTCGACCATATGAGGGCGCTATACAGTTTCAATGGAAAGGTTTTTACAAGTTTTTGTCCACGCAGTTTTGATTTTAAAGTGAGATAGACTTTGGATAAAACGACCAGGCCCAGGTTAAGTGTTTTGTAGTCCCTACTCCCTAGGGACTATGTGTTCCGTAGTATCTACTCCGCCCCAAGACATCGGCACAAAATTCATGCTATAATTAAAGTACAAAGCACTGTACAAATCAAGCCAGGGCAAACTGGTATAGGTCCTAGGTCTGAAGGCCTGTTGGCACCAAGGGCGTCAATCGCTTCTCAAAAGTGGGGGTGGGGTGGGGGTGGGGGGTTACATACATGTGTATCTTGATTAGAACTCATGTGAGTGAAAAGCCTAACGGCCGGGGTTCGGGGCCCGCTGGAGGGCCCCGAAAAAGAAATGGATTCTATAGATGCTCTGTCGGGTGCGATCTGAGGCAATTTCTGACCACTTTATCCAAAAGATCACCATTTTAAACATCATTTTTGAGTTCGGAGTAATTGAAAAAGCTATTCTGCGCTTTAGGATAGGCCACAATTTTAATTGTTTATTCGGGGACGAAAATAGTTTTTTTGGGGGACCCCCCCCCCCCAATCCGACCCCCACCGATCGACGCCCATGCATGGTTGGCACCTAAGCTTCAGAACGACAGACTTTACACGTACATTTTATACGTATACTGTACAGCGTCAGTTGGGGAAATCGAAAATTCCGAGAGAGACCCATACAAAAAAACCTTTTCCCTGCATATGCAGGATGGGTGTGTGTGCAGGGTAGGCCTGTTTATGTGTTTTATAGCACCCTAGCTGCAGTATTTTCGTAGGCCCTCGATTTTTTACGTAGGCCCCCGAATTGTTCGTAGGCCTCGAGCTGCAAATATCGTGGAACTGCTAAAGGTGACGGACCAGGTTAACATTGTAAACTTGTTAGGAAATAAGAGCTACCGATTTATCAGAGAGGTCCTCCTTAATATTTTATAACGGTTATTTGGAGAAATATAGTGAAACTTTAATAGTCTGAGGATGTTATTGCGTAAGATTAATAGCGTTATCATGTACACATGTTTGCATATTCGCTGACCTATCTGTATAAATTATGTTTCCGTTTTGTTTTCACAAATTGACTATTTCACTGAGTCTTGTTGCAGATTGTATTATATGCCGTTAATGCGGAGACTGTATTTTGTTTCTTTCCTGAGGTAAAACTATGTTCCGTGAATTAATAGTTTTTTTGTTGCAAGTGTTTGAAATAAAACTGCGGTGAATAAAAACAAAAAAAAGTTGTGTGCTGACCAAGCATTCAGGGGTAAGATGAGCTATCGCAATGAGCCCATGCCGATCCCTTATCTTCTGGGATCTCGGCGGTCCCGGCCCATACACTTCCTTCCCTGTCCATTCATATAACCCGAGTACATATCGAATGGCAAGTCGGAGCGTGGTGAGTAGCGTTTGAGTGTGTATAGCGCGCCCACTTTTTGAAACGAAAATTGGCCGCAAACTTGAGGGTTTGTAAAAGAAAATATGGGTGGAAGCCGTGCACAGGACTGTGAGCTTGTAGTTCCGTTCAATTTTGATGAAATTTCGGCCCTTAAAGCGCTCTATTTTGCAATGGAGTTTAGGCATCGTTTTGCAAAATGGCGATGCCGGGGCTTCAGGACTATTTCAGGGGTGGTCATCTTCGGATGGAAATTTCTCCTAAAAGTCATCAATTGACCCCCAACAAATTGAAAAGAAACTGAAAGATGATAAAATAAGTTTTAATTTGATGTGTGTCTCGAGCACCTTGGAGAGTTGTGAGTATTTTTCCCGAATTTTTGAAGTGGGAGCATTTACCATTGGGGTCTATGGAAGTTAATTTACTGGTCTGGAACCATAGAGATTGATTACACAGCGCAATCTAGTGTTCCTGTGCGGATGTCACATTTACAACAGTCTGGTTCCCGATTTTGTTATTATCCTCAGTTTCCATTTTCTGTTTAGGTGGGGCGGGAGCCAGTCTACATTATGCGCATGCAATTTATACTGTATAGGCCTGTACAAAAACACAGTACGAATACCTTGATTTTTGGACACTTTGAATGTCTATACCGTTTCGTTCTGTTGCAGTTTTCAACGTACAAGAGAAGTGCATTACTAATCCGTCAATATGCCGCTACCCATGCAAATATTTGGGCAGGTAAGTGAATGATTATATTTATTAGCTCTAGTCTACTGAGCGTAGCCCCACTAGTGTGGCCGTCGGTATGCTGCGCTGAATGTAAGGCCACACACCGTGGTCCGCTCACTACTGAGGACGTTTTCATAAAATTTACAGGGAATTTCTTACATAATGGTTGTATTCTACGATGTCCCATCTATCACTTCTGGGATGCTTAGGTGTAATGATGTTCAATTTTCCGAGATATTCTTGAATCTTTCTGGAGCCCATATGCACTCGTGAAACGTCCGGTGATGTCAGCCATTTTGAATGTGACAAGAGATGACCTCAAGCTGTGACGTCGCGTTTATGCAAATTGCTTGTCGAGCGAGGGCGCGAGTTGCAAATGCGACGGCTGTTTCCTGTACCATGCATTTATCGTCTGGGGGCCACGTGCACTGATCTCTATTCAGGATCTACGGCACAGGAAACAGCCGTCACATTTGCAACTCGCGCCCTCGCTCGACAAGCAATTTGCATAAACGCGACGTCACAGCTTGAGGTCATCTCTTGTCACATTCAAAATGGCTGACATCACCGGACGTTTCACGAGTGCATATGGGCTCCAGAAAGATTCGAGAATATCTCGGAAAATTGAACATCATTACACCTAAGCATCCCAGAAGTGATAGATGGGACATCGTAGAAACAACCATATGTAAGAAATTCCCTGTAAATTTTATGAAAACGTCCTCAGTAGTGAGCGGACCACGGTGTGTGGCCTTACATTCAGCGCAGCATACCGACGGCCACACTAGTGGGGCTATACTGAGCGTTGAACTACGGTACCCTCCTAGCCCAGGTTGGACGAAGTCTTCATTGCAATACGACTAACGTGCAGGGCAAGAATTCTCTACATGAAACCACCCAACATTTTTACCAGAGTTTTGTTATGTGTTACCTCGTTATAGAAGCTTATTTCACGCCTACATACTCTATGTGTCCTTATCTGTCGGGCTGATGGGTTCAGGAATTCCATATGCGATGCTGACTGACGTTAATCAGGAAAATAAAGTCTAAAGCAGCGTTAAACTTGTATGTGTTTGTAGTCTCTTTTCATCAGTTTATTCCAGAGTCGTACGTCATGTACAATGTACGTGCGTACGAAAGCGCGTACGCACGCTAGCGCCCTCGTTTGTTTAGTTTTGGTTGGAACCGTGACGTCACTCCAGTCAACCGATGTCGCGAAAACGCTCAACCAATGACCAAAGCCGAAACGTGTTTCTGGTAACTGGCGCGAAAACACGCTCGGTCATTGGATTAGCGACCGCGCCTTCAAGTAAGTGCGCGTGCGTATGAGGGTGGTTACTAAGCAAATCGCGCGTGCGCACTGCATAATCATGCTGTATAGTCTGGCCCCGGACCAGACGTGATATGAGCGTCGAGAATAATTGTCCGGTCTAGGGAACCAGACTACACGCTGCACAGACGTACATCATGTACGACTAGAATAGACTCGGCGGTGAGAAACTGATGAAAAGAGTCTACAAACACGTACAAGTTTAACGTTGCTTTCGAGTTTATTTTCCAGATTAAGGTCGGTCAGCATCGCATATGGAATTTCTGAACCCAGCGGCCCAATAGATAAGGACACATAGAATACTACGACGTAAAAATTGGCTTCTCCAACAAGGTAAAAATATTGAAAATATCGGTCATAAATTTTTTCGCCCGGTTTTGAGCACTTCATACCCTGGACTCCCTCCGTTACGTAGGGAGGAAAGGGAGTCCACCTGGGCTAGGTACCCTCCGTACAAACGCTCCACCGATTTGGCATACTTTGGTGACAGGTACACGGTCGTCATGACAGTATGCATTTTGTGCATGCCCTCGCGAGGACAAAAGGCCCCCAAAAAACTCATAAAGAGAATACAAATGAGAAAGACAGTAACCCTGGATAGATCAACACAATTGTGACATTCCATAAGGTCCCTTAAATTGTTCCAAACAACCGGTAATTTAAAAAAGAAGAACAAAATAGTCTGAACTTACTAAATGTGTCTGCCGAGTTGTACAGTCCATTTCACTGACATGACTGATCCATAATTCATCGCGCGTGTGTGAAGAAAAACAAGTTGCGCTTACTCAACGACTGTTTCATGTATTCATATGTACCTCGCGCTGTCTGACAGTGTGGGTTTTTGGCGCGGGACACATATCAGTACATGAAACAGT